GAGGATCCGGTACCTCCCTCGTACCGGGCACGGCGCAGGAGCAGGTGAGCAGCTCCCTCGGATTAAAGAAAGCTGAGCTTTTCGCCCTTTTCTGTGTCAATTCGGATCCAGCCCCACCATCGCTGCCCCCCATGAGACCCATGGGTGACAGCAAAGGCAGCGTCCTGCCCCAGGGCTCCCTCTCCCATGGGATGCGGCTGTGGATTCCCAACCCCCTTTTAATTTCCTCTTGGGATCTTTGTGGCGTTGCTGAATTGCATGCCGGCTGCGCAGCAGGCTTAGTGAGTTTTCCCAAATTAATACCTAAAAGGGGTGGGGACAGCAGGCTGTGACAGGATGCTGTACCTATGATTTATGTTGGGTTTTTTTGGTGCGGGAGTTGGCTGCAAAGCCGAGCTGCTCCCCCTTCTGCTTTCACATGGTTTTGATTGAGTGCTGGGTTTCAGCTGTGCCCTGGGAAAGGTGAGGAGGGCAGTCAGATTACGAATGTCTGAGTTTAACGCTTGCACGGCTCCGTAGCGCAGGACATGTGGGCTGCACCGATGTCCCAGCACCGCCCAGCTCCTGGCTGGCCCTGCAGCCACCACGACAAGCAGGGATGAAGATTCACACCAAGATGTGCAGATTTCTGCTGTGGGATCCAGGATGGGTGTAGGCAGCTGGGAAAGAAGTTTGTCTTATAGAATGGTTTCGATTGCAGAAGACCTTTAAGCTTATTGAGTCCAACTATCAATCATCAACCATCAAGTCCAAACTTCATTTGTGCTTCTTGTTTTATGGAATATCCTGGAGCGTATGCAGCGGTGGGGGGAGGATGGAGTATGTCGCAGTGTCTGGGGTCAGGACAGGCTGGTGGGGAGCTGGCACAGTTGTCCCCCCCCATCCTGCTTCCCTTTCCATGCCACCTCCCCAGGGCGAATACCAACCTTGTCCCCTTTTTCTTGCCCTGCAGCAGAGGCCGACATGAGCACGTCCTCCCCGTGCTAGGACTGACCCCACCATCTCGGTGACCCCTCAGCCCGACAGCAAGGATGCGTGCCTGGAAGGCAGTGGCCAGCACGCTGGTGCTCAGCGGGGCTGATGTGGTGGTCACTACGCTGCTCTACACCCACGGCCGGAGCGGCCGGGACATCCTGCAGGACCTGCGGCACTTCAACATCTTCAACTCGCTGCTGGACATCTGGGGGGCCTGCCTCTACCGCAGCTGCGTGCTGCTGGGGGCCGCCATCGGGGTGGCCACCAACACGGCCTACGGCCCCCGGCGCCTCAGGGCATCACGGACCTTCATCGCCGTGGTCTGCCTCCTGATGGGCATCTACATGATGGTGAAGCTGCTGCTCTACTCAGAGGTGCGGAGGACCATCAGGGACCCCTGGTTTTGGGGGCTCTTTGCCTGGACCTACGTGGCGCTGGCGGCCACCTTTGGACTGTGGCAACTGCTGGCCTGCGTCACCTCCTCCCGCGAGGCGCTAGGGACCGGCTCCGAATCCCGTGCCGAAGTGGAGGAGAGCGGCGCCCTGAGGGACAAGCGGGAGGAGGCGGCGGGTCCCACCATCCATAAACTGCTGTCCTACACCAAGCCAGATGCCTTCTTCCTGGGCATCGCCTCCTTCTTCCTCCTTGTGGCTGCGCTAGGTGAGTGAAGAGACTGGGGGATGTGATGTGCTCCCATCCTCACCAGGAGGGAATAACCCGTGGCAGGGGGGATGTGGCAGCACCCCAGGCTTGCTTTTTTGGGGGTGCTGGGTGGCACGTCCTGTATGGAGTGAGTGAAAAATGCAATCGGGGGAAAAAAAATGAAATAGAAGATAAAATACACGGGGAAATGAAACATCCCCATCTGGCACTGAGGGCTGCACATCCTGAGACACCTCAAGTGATGGCTGAGCATCTCCATGGTGGGAATGGGGTTGTCCACAGGCAGTGGGAAATACAGGTCCTGTGCTGATCCTGCGTGGCTGAAACCCCCTGTCCTGTGCTTGTCCGACAGGAGAGACCTTCCTGCCCTACTACACGGGGCTGGCCATCGATGGCATCGTGGTGCAGAAGAGCATGGACCGCTTCTCCACGGCGGTGCTGGTCATGTCGCTGCTTGCCATAGGAAGGTAACCGCAAGGGCTGGCTCTGGCCCTGCCAAGGACGAGTTTGGGGTTTTCCTGCAGGTGGTGGTGGACACGGGCTGTCTCCCCTCCGCCCACTCTGCCAGGGTCCTGCCAGGCCCGGGGGTGGTTTCTCTGCGCCTTTGTGGTGCAGAGAGGCCGTGGTGGCGGTCACGAGGCCGCTGCACAGCCCCTCCACATCCATCTGCTGGTGGTGGGGTGCAGGAGAGGACATGGGGCACGGGCTCCCTGGGGAACCCCCCTGCAGGTTGTCACTGTCAGGGTGAGCTGTCCCTGTGCTGGGAGCACCCAGAGGAGGTGTGGGCGGGTTTGACCATCACTTCCCGGGGTGGGAAGCGGTACCAGCGCAGCATCGGCCGAGCCCTTGGCGCGGGCGTCGGGGGGTGTGTGTTGCTGAGTTGCGGGTTTCGTGTCCATTGGTCTATAACGTTTCTTATCTGCAATTAGCTCATTTGCCGCAGGTATCCGGGGCGGCGTTTTTACGCTCATATTTGCAAGACTGAACATTCGCCTTCGTAACTGCCTCTTCAGGTCGCTGGTGTCTCAGGAAATGAGTTTCTTTGATGAGAATCGCACAGGTTGGTCCCTCTTTCCCCTAGATTTGCTTTAACCCCTCTCTCCCATCCCAGTAATATTTCCCGCAGGCTTGCCCTACCAACACGCAGCAGATTGGGGGCAGCCACAGACGGCACCCAAGTGCTCGTGTTTAGAAACAGCAGCAAAAAGGGCGTGCTTGTGACTTTCCTGCTTGCCGTTCAGTCCTGTCCTGCTCCGTGCCGCTCTGGTGTGGTCCCAGCCCGCTGTAACTTTTCCCACATTTAATTTCTTCTCGGCGATATTTTTAGTTTTGAGGCTGTTGCCATATTTAGCAATCACTGCACGGTGCCCTGGTAGCTGAGGACACCAGGGATGTTGTTGTAAGTGGGATGCTGGTAATGCTGGACTAAGTTACACAGAGGTGTGGAGTTCGGCCTTTTTGAGTCCAGCCCTGTTAGACTCTGAGTTGCTTGGGTTGGCTCCAGGCTGCGGGCACATGCTTGAACCCCCCTAGCCCCCTCCAAAGCCCCCTTGCGCTCCTGTGCAGGGCGTGCGGTGCCTGGGCCCAGCTGCTCCTGTGGGGATGGCAGGGAAAGGTCCTTGGGGAGCTCCTGGAGGGCTCCTGGTGTCACTGACAAAGGAGCTCTGGGCTGGGTTGACAGCTCTGGAGGCGCGTTCAGCAGCACAGCAAACACCCACACACCCGCTGCCCATCTGCGTGCCCACTGTGGGGCAGGGTGCTGTGGCAGTCCCCTTCGCTGTCCTGCTGCCATCCTTGGTGACCCAGCAACGTAGCTTGTGCCTTCAGGTGCATTTCATGGCCCTTGTGCATGCAGCAACTCGAGCTCCTCTGTTTTGCTTCACATCCGCAGCGGTGGGGAGTCACCCCCTGCCATGCCGCCCTTCAGACCCCAGCGAGGGAGCTCCGTCAGGCCCCTGGCATGGGACATGGGACACAGCTGGGCCGTGACCTGCAGTGGTGACATGTCCCCACTCTCCCCTTCCCCAACCCTTCGTTGCTGCAGGGGACGTCATCTCCCGCCTGACATCGGACACAACCATCGTGAGCGACCTGGTCTCCCAGAACATCAACATCTTCCTCCGCAACGTGGTGAAGGCCACAGGGGTGATCTTCTTCATGTTCAGCCTCTCCTGGAAGCTCTCACTCGTCACCTTCATGGGCTTCCCCATCATCATGCTGGTGTCTGACGTCTATGGGAAGTACTACAAGGTAGGCAGGAGAAGCTGGCATGGCCACAGTGTGCTGCAACGCTGGGCCGTTCCCCTTGTGAAGCCATCGTGGAGGTTGTGGGTGGCCTTGGAGCTGGTGGGACTGATGCTTGGGTGCTTTTCTGCCGGCAGCGGGGGCAGGAAGGTGGCATTAAACCTGTGTGGGCAGATGAGCATAGCCTTGGCTCCTGCCTTGCTTCATGCTCAGATGAAGCATCTCAGGTCTGACAGGAGAGGTCTCTTGGCTGTGGGGTATCCCCTGCCTGTCCTGGTGCAATCTGTGGAGTTACTCAATGGGGGTTAAACCCAGCACCGAGCTCCCTCCCTCCACCTGAGGCTAATGTCATCCACCACAGCTAATGCCACATCCCCTGAGCCATGCGGACCCTGCACAGCTGCTCCCTGTGCTGGTCATTGGAGCTTCCCACGGCGTGCACAAGTACTGCCGAAGTGGGGTCCTCGGTTGCTGCCCCCCTGGGCACGGCTCCTCCTGTGGGTCAGACACCCATAGGAGGAGTGGAGCTGCCTTTGGTCTCCTGACCTGGAAACTCCTGGAAGGGCTCCCGGGCCAGGCCGACCCTGTCCCATCAGGGCACCAGGAGCAGTGGCTCTGTGCAGGCTTCCCAAGTGGCCCCGGGCATGGCACTTGCCCTCCTGTAGCCCAGATCCTTCCTCGGGGACAGCAGAACGATCTGTTCTCCTGCTGGCATATCGTCCCAGGCTGTCCCGAGGTGTGGGCTATGTCCCAGTGCTCAGCCTTGTCACCCATGGCATTGGAAAATGTCATGGTGCCTCCTTTTCCTGAGCCCAGCAGAGCCTGGGGCGTGCTCGGCGCCTGCTGAGCCCCCTCTGCCTCCCCCTGCTTCCCGCAGAAGCTCTCCAAGGACGTGCAGAATGCCCTGGCCAAGGCCAACAACACTGCCGAGGAGACCATCTCCGCCATGAAGACCGTCCGCAGCTTCGCCAACGAGGAGGCGGAGGCCAACGTGTACTCACAGAAGCTGCAGCAGGTCTACAAGCTCAACAAGCGGGAGGCCATGGCTTACACCTACTACGTCTGGTCCAGCGGGGTAGGTGGCTGCTGGGGGGGCTTCCCCATGTGGGGCTGGGGATGGGTGGAGGACGTTGCTTCCGATCCCAAAACGTGTGTGGCATCATCTGTGTGTGTCTCCTTCACTTCCAGGGATTTTGTGGGGCGAGTACAGCCTTGATGGACACTGCCTGTAATCCTCTGCTTCTTAATTCTTCATATTTTTTGACAAGTTAAAAATAATTTCCGTTCCCCCTTAGGGCAGCTCTAAGTGCCACCAAACGCTCTGTTTTCTCTTGCTAATCAGAGTCTAATTGATAACCGCTCAAGGTCGTGGAAAACCCCGCGTTTTGGTGTTGCTGCATTGCGTGCCTGTGCCAGCTCATCCCCGGGCTCCGGCTGGGAACAGCCGCGGCGTTGGTTCAGCTTCTGCTCAGAAACGGAGATTTTCCACGTGTGGGTGGTGGCAGGAGGAGGCTGCTGGCGTTTGGGCTTGAGGATTTTTTTTTTTTTTAGGGTTTTTTTAGGGTTTTTTGTTTTTCTGCTTTTCAAAATGCTTTTTCATTGTTCAAGACCAGATGGCTGGGACTCCTCCTGCATCGGCTGCTAACTAAGGCTGCACAAAACCCTCACGTGAGGCTGCCCGTATCTCTGCGCATTCAGGCACCTACATAGCCTCTGGTGAAGGGCTTGCGAATTACGGTGCCTTCTGCAGCCGTGGGAGATGTTACAGCTTCCCAAGCCTGGAAGCAAAATCAGAGAGTTTCTAACATCATTGCTGAGGTCCCAAGTGAAGCTGGAGCCTTAACTGGGTCAGCACAGATCTCCCCGAGTCAAAGGAGACAAAAACCGTCAAAAGGTGCTCCTGCGTGGCTCAGATAGAAAGGTGCCGATGGATTCAGCACAGTGCTGGCAGCGTCTTTCTTAGAGGGAGCACAGGATCTTCAGGTCAGATCGCAGCAGAGCAACAGAAGAGGATTTTTCCTCTGTGTTTTTGTCTGTGTGAATTTACAGCCAGTCCCCAAACGCCACACAGAGCATCAGGGCAGTGCAGAGCAGAATGGGCTGAAGAAAGGCAGGGGCTGGTGTTTGTCATGTCAGGGCTGATCTGTCCCCTATCTAGGGTGGGTGGTACCCCCCCACACACAGGGATTTCAGGCAAGGGTTGAGGTTGTGCTTCAGGAACTTGTACGTGGATTTTTCGCATTAACTCTTGGCTTCATTTTGTGCTCTGAATTAAAATATGTCACACCCTTACAACAGAAAGTTTATTTTAGTGGTGAGGTAACTGCGTGCATTGGATAATTTGTGTGGATTCTTGTGCTTGAGGACAATAGTCCAAGCAAGAAGTTCACGAGATGCTCTGTTATTTCAGGTAAATTCTCCCTCATTGCTGGTGCCCCTCTGGATTTCGGTTTTGTTGAGCGATGCCAGCTCAGCTCCTTCAGTCAGCCCATGCACTTGGGTTGTTTTTCCCTTCTCCTGTCCATCTTGCTGCTGGGGCTGTCAGCTCTGCAGTGTCTGGGATGCTCTGTTCAGGGCTCAGAGAATAAACGTCAGCACATGAATTGTGGGCTGTTCCGTGTAAGTAATTACAAATGCACCAAAATGCAGTTGTTCTTGCTGATTTTGGGGGTGTTTTCTTGCTTTCAGCTGACCCTGCTGGTGGTCCAGGTCAGCATCCTTTACTACGGCGGGCACCTTGTGATCTCGGGGCAAATGACAAGCGGGAGCCTGATATCCTTCATCATTTATGAGTTTGTCTTAGGGGACTGCATGGAGGTGAGTCTGGTTCATTCCTCTGGGCATATGAAGGTGATGTTTGTCTTGTGGAAGGTGCCAGGGCAGTTGCAGGGCTGGATCCAGTGTTGGCTTCCCTATGGCACCTTTCCTTGGCGCTGTGGCACTTTGGTTTTGCTTTGGAGCTGATTCTCTCCTTCCCTTCCCCCAAAAAGGTGATAGGGACCAAAGGGGTCAGGCTGGCCCTGCTGAAACGCAGAGTCCTGGCTGCCTCCCAAGCACGTTTCCCGGCGTGAAGGATGCAGAGATTACGAAGCTGCCTGTGAAATTTCAGGCTTCGTTAAAACCTTAATTATATGACTTTTTTTTCCCCTGGAAGAGGCAGCAGCTGCAGCGTTGGCAGTGCATTAGTGGGATGGGGCTGTGGGCGGGATGGCAGAGCCCACTCGGGGCTGCCTTGCAAAGGCATAAGCTCGGCTGATGGAGGCAGTGCTGATCGTGCCGAGGGTTTCTCTCAGCCAAGCGTGATTTCGGCAGCGCTTCAGCCTTTGCAGCAGCAGAGCAGAGCAGAGGCAGCTTGCCCAGTGCTCACCATCTGCTCGGATGATGCAGGCTCTGGTGGTGTTTCCAGGCTGTGTTTTTGGTGTGGGTTTGGGGTTTGGGTTTTTGTTTTTTTTACCCCCTCCTGATGGGAGAGGTGGATGCAGTACAGGCTGTTCTGCAGCTCTGGCTTTGATATCAAAAAGAGCCAACGTGATGGGAGGTTATGCCAGGGAAGCCAGTGTCAGTGTGCAGCAGTTTAGGAAGGTGCAATGGTAAATCCATCAGGACATATCCTGGCAGGGAACAGCCGTATCCGCTGCTGAACAGGTACCTGGAAGGGTCCGGCCTGGAGCTGCTCTGTATTTGAGACTCATGTGCTAGGAACGGGCCGGCTGCCTCGGGGCTGCTGCGATGTCTGTGGGATCTGCTCAGCCATGGGGCAGGGGAGCTCCTGGTCTTCAGCAAAGAGAGATGAGTGGAGGGTTCTGTTGCAAGTTTGGGTTTGTATCTCCTGGCACACATCTTCTCTTCCCAATCCTTGTGTTTGCTGCTTCTGTTAGCCTGAGTCTACCCATGTGCAACACCCCCTTAGATGCCCTTTCCCTGGATACATCCATATATCCCCTCCGCACCCTGCAGAGGCAGAAGAGCTTTCTTTTCATGTGTCTGATGGCTGTTGTTAATGTCAGATGATAGACTTGGGAATGCTTCAACCACTCTCCTTACAAGTAGCACCAACTGACTTCTCCATCGTGTGGGAGGGTCTCACCATTGCCTCTTCCCTTCCAGTCTGTGGGCTCTGTCTACAGCGGCCTGATGCAGGGAGTGGGAGCTGCTGAAAAGGTGTTCGAGTTCATCGACCGCAAGCCAACCATGGTGAACGATGGGTCCCTGGCCCCAGACCACGTGGATGGGAAGGTGGAGTTCAGAAACGTGACGTTTTCATATCGCACCCGCTCTGCAACGCAGGTCCTCCAGGTGAGCCCTGCGGGCACACAGCGCTCCCCACCACAGAGCATCATGCGCTGCTTCTCCATTGTGGCCATAACCCATCCCCAGCCTGCAGGAAATGTCAGCTGCCTTTTTGGAGAGCAGTAAGAGCACGCTGGAAAACAGATTATGAGGAACAGCGGGTGTCTAGGGCCGGCCTTCCTTACAAGGAATGAGATTTATTAATAAACCCTTATTCCCTGCGCAGCCATTAAGTGTGTTGGCATGGCACGGGGCTTTATGCCAAG